GGCGAAGAGGGCCCCAGCCGGCGGCTCCATGCCCGCGGCCCGACGGGGCGGAGCAGCCTGAACCCACCCCCGGCTCCGCCCCGCCCCGCGCGGCGTTTAAAGGGGGCTGCCCGGGGCTGAGCCCCGCATCGCTGCCTCCTGCGGGTGCCGCGCCCTCCAGCTGGGTCCGTGCAGGGGCTGAGTGAGCCCCTGGGGACTCAGCCGGGACCGGCTCCCAGCGGTGCGGGATCCGGGCTCCCCCGAGACGCGTTTGGCTGTTGGCTGCTGGAGACAGAGTCCTTTAAATCCCAGCCGACAGCGAAGCAGCCCAGGAGCCAGGTGACTCCTTCCCCGGCAGCCCGGCCCTCGGGTGGGGCCCGCGCCCGTCTCCTGCAGCGACCGGCCTCCTCCCAGCCTTGGGCTGGTGTCGGGGCGTGAGGCGTGAGGTGGGCGCCCACAGCCCGCGCTGGGGCACTTGCTCCGGGCAGCCAGGCTGAGGAGAGAGGGAAGGGAAAGGCACAAGGGAGAAAAGAAACAAAACCCTCCCTGGGGATACAGACTCCTGGTTTTGCACCTGCCCCTTCCAGCGGTTCCAGGGGGTAGCGCGTGTCTGGAGCTTGTGCCAGCAGTGCCGCCCTATCTGCTGCTTGCAGGAGGCTGGCGTGCAGCTGCCCACGCAGACCTTGCTGCTGGCTCCCAGAAGGTGCTGGCAGGGCAGGGGATGTAGCTGCACTGGAAGTTTGCTCCTGTCCTTGTTGTGGCCCAGTCAGCTTGCTGAGATGTGCAGCCTCCTCCCCCTGCTGCTGTCCCCTGATCCCAGGCAGGCGGTACCAGCTATCCAGGGCCTACTGGGTGACCTCCAGCTGGACAAAGAAAGCACGCTCGAGGCTTTCCTGGGAGATGCCAAGTGTGAGGAGTACTTGTGGGCTCTCTGCAAGCTTCTGGCTGTTCCTGATGTCAGGTGAGTGAGGTCTGAGGGGTCAGCATGCCTCTGTAGCACAGCTCTGTGGATGCACAGTTATCCCATGCGTACTGTGTGATGGAGATAGCTGTGCCCTAGTTTGCATTCACTTTATCCCTGTGGCTTACTTGAGCTCTGTTCACTAAGCCGTTCCATGGCTAGCCAGGGTCCCCTGAGGTGGGCACAATGGGTGATGGGCAGTCGAAAGCTCCAGTCCCTGAACAGGTGGATTAACAGAAACTATGGAGCAGTCCTGGTCCCTGCACAGTGGGCAGCCAGGCCCCGTGAAGACCCAATCTGAAGCCTCTGGGAATCGGTAGCAAGTTTCCAGTGGGCTTTGGATCAGGCTTTCAATGAGGTATAGCTTGGGATTGGGCCCTACTTTTCTGTCTCCCAACCACCTGATGGATGTCCTATGGAGACAGGACAATGGGAGCCTTTAGCCCTGGTTTGCTGTGTAGCAACAGGCTGGGAGAAGATAAATGGCTCCCATTGTGCGTATGGTGTTTGCACCCAGCAAGCTGTCATAACACGGTACACAGCTACAAAGCAAGGCAAACAGGGCCCAAGCTTGGCAGAAGCTGTGGAGGCTGTGCTACTGCTGTTCAAACAGCAAGGGTTCAGACCTCTGCCCAGTGCTAGGGCCTGAGCTCTGACTCCAGCCATGGCAAAGCCCCCAACATCTGGAGGAGCCAGCTGTGCCACTCAGCTGTGTGGCATAGCTTCCCCTGCCTGGCTCGGAGCTAGCTGCGTTCTCTTTGTGCATTGAGGCTGCTCTGTTCTTTTCCTTGTCTGAAGCCACCCACTGGTCCCCCTCACCCCTGGCTGCTCCCAGGGGCCAGGTGGTGGCATCCTAGGAGGCTCCTACCCAGGGACTTTAGCCTCTAGCAGACAGCTGGAGGCTGCTGGACACTTAAGCTGAGGCCAAAGCAGCTGAGGAACAACAAGGACAAGGAGTCCAGGCATGGGGCAAGGGAGCTGCAGGCACCAAGAGCTAATCTTTTAACCTTCTCACTACTGGACCCTAAAGCAGCTTTGGTGGGAAGGAGGCACATGCTGGAGTGAGTGTCCATGTGCTCCGAGCCTCCCAGGGCAATATGGTGGGGCACAGCTGGGCCCCGAGTTGTGCCCCCAGACTGGGTGAAACAGCTACTGCCCAAATATACCAAGGCAGCACTGGATCCGTAGTCTAAGCAGCAGCCGTTCTCAGTTGAGTTGGGGGAGGTTGCAGCTGCTTACGCCAGAGATGAGCGTGGCCCTGTGTAGTTTTTATTCATATGCAAGTCAAGCTACTGCCAATCCCAGCACGAGCCTGGGCTTTGTTTCACTGAGTGTGTACACAGTGTCTAGGGCTTTCCCTTGGCAGAGCCTTGGCAGCAACCCAGGGCCCCAGCAGGGAGCTGAGCTGGGTGAGAGATACATGGATGCTCTCACACCTCTCTGCTCCCCCAGCCGTGCCTCTTTTGTCTCCTCCACCCACTCTTGCACCACCCCTCCTCCCCTGGTGCCCCCTACCCCTGTGGGTAGATTCTGATGTAAGGGTCCCTCAGGGTGCTTGGAGAGCAGTGGCCTGGCCTAAGGAAGTATGCGGGCTTTCTGTTCCTTCCACAGTCCCTGCTGAGAGGCATGGTGTGGGAATGGTCAGCCTGCTGCAGAAGGCCCAAAGGTCAGCAGCAAGGGCCTTGCCATGGTAACAGCCAAAACAGCCTGGTGGAGGCAGGCTTTGGCTTGGAGCTGTGACTTCCACTGACCTATCCTACTTCACACCAGATCAGAGCATCACAAGCACACTTAGCCTGTCCTGCCTGCGCCTAAGGATGCTCAGCCTCTCCCAAGAGACAGCACAAGATCAGGGCCCCTTTGTCCTCTGATGGCTTCCAGCACTGGGCCTCAGCTTCACCTTGCATTCCTTCTGCATGCCTTGTTTTAGCTCTTGTCCTCTCCACACCTCTGCTCTCACCTGTCGGCACTAGGATGGTTGTCAGGGTCCCTGGCTGTAGCTTTAACATTTCACCCCTGCACAAAGCAGATGTGAGCCACCTCCCAGGTAGTGCGTACTCTCCCTTCCAGTGGGCTTGGGAAGGGTCTCTAGCGAGGATGAAGCTAAGAGTACCAGCCAGCAGCTCAGGGCTCCAGAGGCACTGAGTTTGCTTGGGCTCAGAGTGTGTCAGTCTCACTCAGCCACAGGAAAGACCTATTTGCTGAGCTTCTGGCCAGCAATGGGATCTTCATGTATATGCATATACATACCAATACACACACGTACCCATATCTGTACCCATAAGCACATGTTCGCCCATACCTCAAATGCTAGGCTGAAAATGCTTAAAAGCCTACAACTAAAACTGTTAGACTTTATAGGCTCCTAGGCCAGCCTAAAAAAATCTAGTCACAGCCCTTGGGAAACATGGCCTCTTGCCATGGTAGGTGACCTTTAACATGGTGGCACAAGGGGCCTTCTCTGCCCTTGCCATGACCAGCCAAGGGTTCTATATCCTGCACCCAGCTCCTAGCTAGCACCTCTGCAGCCCTGCCCACCCGGGAGGAAGCAGGAGTCTTGCTACCGACCTCTGTGCTCTGTGCTGGGTGGGTAGGGTATGAAGGCACCCACATCCTGACTGGCACTCTGCTGTCTGTGCCAGGCTGTGCAGCTATGCCGCCTACATCCTGGGGACCATTGCAGAACACGAGACTGGAGTGGCACGCCTGGTGGCACTGGCAGAGGGCCATGATTCAGACTCTGGGGTTCTCCTGGGCATGCTGAATGCCATGCTGACGTGGGACGACACAGAGGCTGTGATGAATGCAGCAGGCACCCTGGCCTCTCTGGTAAGGACCTCAGGGTGAAGTAGGGGTGGGTTGGGAGGTTAAGGGGCAATTATATCTCAGGCAGAGTGAAGCAGCCTCAAGTTCTGTATAAAGAAAGGGCCATAAATCACTGCATGTATACCCCCTTGGGTGGGTATGTGGGACTTCTGAGGGATTGTAGCTGGCACAAAGCTCATCCCTAATGCCCAGCTTCCCTCTCTTGTGCCTTCAGAGGCACAGCCTCCAAGCCTTGCTGAGCTGCTGGCCTGTCTCTCCAGGCCTTGGGCCCTGCCCACAACCTCCCCAGTTAGTCAGCTGCATGCACCGTCACCCTGGCAAGGTATGGCCTTCATCACCTGCAGGTCAGAGGACTAGGGCCTATTTTTCAGAGGAGCCGAAGGTCCCTGATGCTGTGGAGTATGTGCCGTTGAGCAGGAAGCTGGGACTGGGAGGAGTGGACGGGCTCAGACTGGGCTGCCGCTTTATGGCACAGAGCCCCACTTACAAAACCTGATGCAGAAGCACTGGCTTGTGGGGCTACCCGTGCTAGTGCTTGGACAACACTTCAACCTGACAGAGCATGGTTTGTTGGTAGACCTCTAAGTGCTTTACAAAGGAGGCTGTCTTGGTGATGGGGAAACTGAGGCACAGTGTGGGGAAGCAGCTGGGCCACGGTCACACAGTGGCTGCCTTGGAGATAGTTCCCAGGTGTACTGACTGCTCTACCCACTGGCTAATACTGCCAATCTGAGGCCGATGGTGTGAGGGGAGGAAGCTGGTGCCCCATTAACCTCCCCCACAGACTCCTCCCTGCCACTTCTAAGGGACTTCTCCAGCTCCCTTGGTTTCACTTCTTCCTCTCCTGAGGCGGAGACAGGTCCCGGCCGGCAGTGGCTCCTCCGGGACCCGAAAGCTGAGGAGGTCATTGAGAAGCTTGTGGTGCTGCTGGGCTCGACTGATAGACAGACGGCCAGCAACTCTGCCTTGGTGCTGGCCCGACTCGCTAT